AGTTCCAACAAATATGGCTTATAGCAATAGTTAATTATTAGCTCAGTGGTACAGCCTTCGATTGCTAATCGAAAGGTCCCTGGTTCAAACCCGGGAGAGCTCTTCTTTAGGGAAGTGAAGAGAAATATTTTTTTTAGAATTTCGAAGGCGGGAATGATCTGTCCCGTTTTGTATATTTCTAATCAAAGCATTTTCGTATCCGTATCTACGTACGGAACGCAAAGCAAAGGTTAGTTGATGCCAGGGTATAGCTCAGTGGTAGAGCATTCGACTGCAGATCGAGAAGTCCTCGGTTCAAACTCGGGTGTCCTCTTCTTCAGGGAAGTAAAGAGAAATATATATTTGAGAATTTCGCGCGAAAGCGGCAATGAACTGTCCCGCTCTGTATATTTCTACACAAAGCATTTTCGTATCAGTTCCTACGGAACGCAAAGCAAAGGTTTATATTATGCGAGGCTATAGCTCTGTGGTTGAACATTCGACTGCAGATGGAGAAGTCCTCGGTTCAAATCCAGGTGTCTTCTTCAAGGAAGTGAAGAAAAAAAAAATTTTTTTTTTGGAATTTCGAAGGCAGGAATGATCTGTCCCGTTCTGTATATTTCTAATCAAAGCATTTTCGTATACATTCCTACGGAACTCAAAGCAAAGGTTCGCTGACACAGGTTATATAGCCCAGTGGTAAAGTATTCGACTGCAGATTGAGAGGTCTCCGGTTCCAACCCGGGTTTGCCCTTCTCCAGGGAAGTGAAGAGAAATATTTCACTGGGAATTTTGAAGGTGGCAATGATCTGTCCCGTTCTGTATATTTCTAGACAAAGCAATTTCCCATCCGTGATGGTGTGCGTCACTTCCGTGACGTTGTGTGCGCGCATCGTAAAAATTCACCCTCATCCTATTTCTCTAACGCCCCAAAAGAAGTATAACTTCAAAAAATACGTGCCCCAAATTTTTTTTTAAAATTTAAAACAAAGCGGAAAAAAACCAAGTAAACGTAGCGCACCCGGACCTGACGCTTCATTTAAATTCACTTCTTAGAAAAACAGGCCTATAGAAGTTAACACTGCAAAAATAAAATTTAAACAAAGTAGAAAGGGAGATGGATATATAATATATAAATATATATTTCTTTTAATTTGCCTTAGAGTGGCAAATAAAAATTCTATCCGTGGACCGGATAGAACCTCCCTGCGGGCCGTAGTTTGCTCAGCCCTGATATCTATCCCATAAATTGGCCAGTACAGAGAATTCTCTGATCCGTGGTTTTGATTTTTCGGGTGTATCATTTATAATATGTATGGAATAACGTATTGGTTTCGTAGGCCGTGTGATTTTGAGGCCACCATCTTTCGTCAATGAAAATTAAGTTATTGAACAGGCAACTACGTATGTGGAATGATTCTTGGTTACAGACCTTAAGGTATCCGACTACGCTCGGAAACATGATTTTGCAAAAGCGTATAAATGGGTAATATTTATGATATTTACTGTCACTTGATTAGAAATCGTATATAAAATTGTTTTAAGAATATTATTACACTAAAAAATTATTTAAGTACAATATTTTGACAAAAAATGAATATAGAATGATCCCTTTTCAAAACATTCTCCTTTTATAAAAAATAATTCTATTATAATAATATTTTGCCTGTATGTAGCTCAGACCTTTGTACAGAGGCTCAACTAGAATTTTTGAAATATATTACTTAGAAGTGGGTTTATCCATGTTTTACGGCAACAAAGGGGAGAAATTTTAAGAAAAAAATGCCGATAATTATTTCAATCTGTTAAAACTCTGAAAATAATGTGAATTTTTCAAAAAAAAAAAATAGTTCAGACTCTCTGGAGAAGTCTGCACTTTATATACGCACGCACGCACGCACGCACACACACACACACACACACACA